CCTCCGCAATTTTCCAATCGCGTCGCGCAGGTGCATGCTGCATGTGCTTCTGGAGCTGATCGCGCGCAACAGGCAGTGAAGGGGCGGCGGCATGACCATCGCCCGAGTGGGCAGCGAGAGCATGTGCTCCAGCGGCGGCAGAAGGCATTGCATCCCCATCTCCATCTTCGATGCCACCGACAAAGACTCTTCGAGTTTTTTTGGGGCCAGGTCGAAACCATGCGTTGTAAGCGTGCTGCGCAATTGTCATGATCTTGCGGGGATGCCTCAGCGTTTCCTGGAATAGCACCGTGCTCGGATTGGCATCGCGCTGCAGCAATAAGCGCCGCGTTGGCGTGAAAGACTTGCTGATCATGCCACTGGGGCCTCAAGATTGAGAAAGTCTGATAATCGAGGGTTGGCCTTGGCAGCCTTCTTTAAAGCGCGCGAGGTACGTGAGCGCATAGCACGGTTGACAGAAAAGAACAACTGCGAACGCTGTTCGGGGGGGTCTGGCGGCGGCTCGGACAGCCAATGCTGGACGAGCCGGCCTGCCTCGCGCATCAAGCACGTGATCTCTTGGATCATCACCGGGATATTGTTACCGTACACGCAATTTTCCTCCATGGGCCCATCGAGTACAATGGGGTGCAAGAGATTCTTGGAAACCCACGAGGGCACTTTGGAGACCTTGGAATCACCCCCTCCTTCCTATTCAGGCGTAGGCAAACACGAGCATAACCGCTGGGTAAGTCGGGCTTGCGCATGTTCCAGACCGTCCCAGATGTCTGGTCCAAGTCCAAGAGATCGCCTGTGACGATATTGGTATATATCCGATCAAGCCTTGAAGCGCCGATGACGCGCCCGTCCCTGGCGGCGCGGCGGGCCCGGGCCTCGTGAACGCACTCCGTGATCCGAGGCGTGAGGGTCCAGCACCTGAAGGCCAAAACGTCGGCAGAGTTCTGATAGGTGGCCCCGTCGACCCTTTGAGCCCCCCCTCCTAGCTCGCAATTGTTAAAATCCCTTGAAAAAACAATGACCCCCTGGGGGGCCCCATTGAAGTCGGCGCACTGGGCCAACGCCTCAATGTTTTGACGCTGGCGGAGGGCATGGTTGACCTGCAGGTTGAGGATGGTGAGCTGGAAAGCTCCAGACTCCGATGCGAGCGCGGGAAGGCGGTCGGGAATTTGAGCGCGCGGCGGTTCGGCAGTGAGATCAGCCAACAGAGACCTCGCCATCATGATAACTACTCCACCAGCATTCACCTCAGAGCAGCAAGAACAGTATGCTTCGAAAGACGGGAACTCAATGCGGAACGATTCGCTGCCACCGTCGTGGCCGTGGGCCTCTTGAAGACGCATGGCATTGCTAATTCTACTGGCTTGAGAAAAACGGTCCCAGGTTTTCCGTTGAACGTCGCGTTCATCAAGACCGGCGCCAAACAAAGCACGTCAATTCCAAGTCGATACGAACCGAGGAGGTGGAGGAGGAGGGGGGGGGGAGGAGGGGGGGGGGCAGGGCCAGTGTAAACCCAAGACTCATCAACGATGTTGAAGCACACCTCCCCTCCAACATCCCTCTTCATGTGCCCCTGCATTGGGGGGCTTCCACAGGGGATGGCCCCGCTGGGGGATGACTGCGCGCCAAACGTGAAGCGTGCCAAAACGCCGCGTTCAGGACTTCAACGCCACGAATTAATCTGACTGTTGCGTCTTGGCGAACCTGCATCGTGCCAGAACACTATGCCTGGGACTTCAACACATCGAATCAACGTAGCTGCCGCGCCCTGACAATCCTGCATCCCGGAACGCCATTTCCGATGAGGCGACCATGAGAACCAGTGAAGCACTTGCAAATGTTGGACAAATGTGTTCGGCGCAAAAGCGTTGAGCTCGTCCTTCGGGGGCAAACTCTGCTTCTTTGTTCAGGCCCAACACTCTGATGAAGGTGTGATGTCTGCGCTGAAACTCTGATTCAAGTCTGGCCCCCAGCGCCGGCTCTGACTCACGTCTGACTGAAACTCCGATTTACCTCTGGCCCTAAGACCCAATACCCAAGTCTGGTTTAGACTGGAACTCTGATTAACTCTGGCCCTGAAGACCCATGTGCGATTTAGGTTCTACTGGGAACTCTAGTTTACATGCGATGACAATGTGGTTTGGCTGGTCCGAAACCAATGTCGCGGCGTCGGCCCAGAATGCTGCCGGGTCGGCCCTGTGCGCATGCGTCTTCAAAAGGAATGCGCAAGCCGAGCGGCGGGTCATGGCTGGGGGCCCAGCCGCCAGCTGCCAAGCACTGCGAACTTGGTCCGCCTGCGCACGCCGCCTTACGGCGACGTTGCAGCTGAGGCCTGCGCGGGGGGCACGGGGCAGCGCGCCCCGCCTGCGCGGCCCTGCCCAAAATTGCTCAACTGCGGCCGGGGCGAAAAACAACCCGCCCGAGGCTCGCCCCGCAGGGCTGCCGGCTGCCGCGCCGCGGAAGGATGCGCAGCGCGGTGGCCGCCCCAATCCCCGCCGCCCGC